TAGAAAGAAATTTATCTCAAATTAGTTTGATTCAGTGGCTGCATTAACTCAATATTTTGTTAGTCCAACCTCAACCACTATGAAAAATGAATGCATTAAACATAAAAATATGGTGGGATGTTGGGGTTCATTTGAATAGACTCAAGCTTACTTATAGCTCCAGGAAATGAATGTCCTTAAGTTTTATCACCACAGACCAATCTGGCTCTAAAGTTATTGATGACTAGAACCATACAACTGTGATTCCCCCATAGCTATTTTCATTTTTACAAGTGCAATAAGTTGGATTTTGAAAATTATATCACAGTAAAGATTAATATGGGCTTCCCAGGTGGTGCTAGTGTTAAAGAACCTGCCTGCCAATGCAGGAAACTTTAAGAGACACGGGTTCAATCCCTTGGTCAGGAAGATCCCCTGGAGGATGAAGTGGCAACCCATACCTGTATTCTTGCCCAGAGAATCCCACGGACAGAGGAGCCTGGCAGGCTATGGTACACAAGGTCAGAAAGAGTCAGATACAACTGAAGCGACATAGCATGCATGCAAAGACTAATATAGTTAATGCTGATGATATTATTACCCAATATTTACTCTGAAAATACCTTCAAAGCTTCACATGCTCCATCTTATCATTGCACTTTTAGCCCAGGACTTCCCTGGTGGCTCAGTGGTAAAGTCTCTGTCTGCCAATGCAGGAGACTCAAGAGACTCAGGTTTGATCCCTGGGTTGGAAAGATCCCCTAGAGGAGGGCATGGCAACCCATTCCAGTATTCTTGCTTGGGAAATCCCATGGACAGAGGAGCCTGGTGGGCTACAGTTCATGGGATCACAAAAAGAATCAAACCCAACTTAATGACTAAAGAACAACTTTTTAGCCTGACAAAAATGTTTATTTCAATTTTTAAGTATTTGCAAATAATTTAGTTATTTGTTGTTACTGTTCAGTGACAATAAAAGGCTTAGATGTCATTCGCGTCTTACAGAAATTGCATATAATTTCCTCTTTAGCAACTGTACTGTATACATCAACTGTGTCACAATCTGTCATATTACCTCATATCAGAACATAGCTATGTTGGACTGACCCATCACTGAAGGGATATGAAATTAACTTGTCAGTTATCTTCTCCAGAGAAAATTCTCTTTCAACATTTTTATTAATGGCAAGTGCCAACTGGAAAGTTGTGAAGTGAAGTCTCTCAGTTGTGTCTGACTCTTTGTGACCCCATGGACTGTAGCCCACCAGGCTCCTCTGTCCATGGGATTTTCCAGCCAAGAATACTGGAGTGGGTTGCCATTTCCTTCTCCAGGGGATCTTCCCAACCCAGGGATCGAACCCGGGTCTCCAGCAGTGCAGGCAGACATTTTATGACAGTAACTGCCTAATTTTGAAAAACAGGTACCTTTTATAAAATGTATTCAGTTTCCTAAGAATAAATCTATTGGATTTCTCCTACCAAAATATCAGGGTTTCTATCAACCACCTGTTTAAAAGTAGCTGCTTTTGTTTCTCTCACTGACAGTCCTCTAACCACCTTTACCTCTCCTGGTGTCAAGAAGTGACTTCAATTTGTGTTTTTTGTTTTGGTGTATAATTGCTTTATAACATTGTGCTTGCTTTTATTGTAAAACAAGGCGAATCAGCCATTTGTATACACGTATCCCCTCCCTGTTGAGCCTCCCTCCCACACCTTCACCCCACCCTTCTAGGTCATCACAGAACACAGCTGGGCTCCCTGTCTTACACAGCGGCTTCCTGCTAACCATCTATTTTACGCGTGGTAGGAACGGCAACCCACTCCAGTGTTCTTGCCTGGAGAATCCCAGGGACAGCGGAGCCTGGTGGGCTGTCGTGTATGGGGTTGCACAGAGTCGGACACGACTGAAGCGACTTAGCAGCAGCAGTGTATATTCCTCAATGTCACTCTCTTAATTTGTTTCACTCTCTCCTTGCCCACTGTGTCCACTAATCTGTTCTGTACACCCATGTCTATTCCTGCCTTGCAAATAGGTTCATCAGTACCATTTTTCTAGATACCACATATATTCATTAATAGATGATATTTGTTTTTCATTTTGGGAATAAAGTCGTGGATAGTAGATGCTTGCTAATAGCACAGCAATTGGGCTGGGAAAAGTTACTCTGATGAGGATTGCTTCATTTAACGATGAGCAAATCTCATGAATATAAAATGATGGAGAAGCATGACACTGGATGGTTTTCTGAAAAAAGTTTCTATCTTTTCTAAGAAAAATTAGAATTTTCCAAGAAAGTTTGACATCAATTATAAATGCAACTTTGACTATTTCCAAGAAACATTACAATTATGTTTACCAACACAGCTGAAGCATGAAATTAGAAGATATCTTTAAGTTTGGAGAGAGACTCAGGCTTCTTTTAACTTGTTTGGCTCTGATTTTCCCCTTTCATAATTAGTCTAGTGATAAGATTAGAAGGAAGGGGAGGTTTATTATACTCATGGTTGGCTTTTAATAATATGAGTTGGCATTTGAAAGAAATAATTTGTTAAAAAAATGAACGTTCAGTTATTTTGGATTGTGGAACTACACTTGAGGGAAACATCATGTGCAGTTATGATCTGTTTCCATTAAATTTTACTTTAGAGAAACCTATGGGTGTAAAAATTTGATAGAGAGTTTTGCTCCCACTGCTATTACATTAAAGCCTAGATACAAATAAATGCTAGCAAAGTTGGTAATGACCAAATAGCTCAGATACACACACACCCTAAGGCCTACAAGCCCAGTGAAACAGTGGATCAAGCAAACAAACTGTAATACTCATCAAGAGACAAACTGTAAAATAAAGAAAAACTTCAGTAGGTAAAGTCATGAATTGGTATTGGACTAACATGGGTTGGATTTCTTGCTCTGATACTTTTCACACTGTGATAGTGAGCATTTAACTTCCAAATTGCTGTTTTTTCAACTACAAAGTAGGAATAAAGTAGTAATTGTATTATTAGGGTAATTTTGAACACTGAAGGGGGTATATATAATATGTTTAATAAATCCATAATAAATTCTCAGTGAATATTGTCCATAATTTTTATTATTTATGATTATTGTTGTACACTGTATCAAATGAGTTATCTAAATTTTTCTTTCTTTATTTATTTTTAAATGTTTCAAAGCCAAATCTGACATACACAAATTTTCAGCTTTAACTACTCTTAAAATACAGCATGTTAAAGTTGATGGGAAGTATATTAGTGAGATTAAAATACCCCATTTTGATTTTTAAAAACTGTTTCTTTCAGTGCAGTTTCTATTGACTGGTTGTGCCAAGCAATCTTACTCTGAAAGGCAGGTATCAATTATAGAAGTAATTAGCTCATGTTGGGATATTCACCTACAGAACTGACCCAACACAAAAATCTCCTAACTTTTGAGACTTTATTTTCTCAAACAAATCGAGCATTTGTATAATGTCATTATTTACATTACTATACTTAACAATGAATAAGGCTATGACACATCCTTTACAATGTTCCCTAGAAACAACTGGTCATTCAAATGCACAAGGGTATGGAATGGGGACTAGTGTGGTACAGTCAGAACATAGATTCAGGAATGAGACAGATTTAAGGTCTGATCTTTAATAAATCACTTATTACATTTACAATTTGAGGAAAGTTATTTATCTTTTCAACTTCAGTTGCAAAATGGGCAATTAATAAGTAGTATGTATTTCAGAAGATGGTTTATAAGCATTAAATGAGCCAATGCGTGTCAAACATCTAGCAAAAAGTTTGTCATCTTGTGAGTGCTCAATAAATGTTTTTTATTTGCATAATTTTACTAACTCATTGATTTCTTGGGCTGGAACATTATAATCATTTTCATTATTGCTTAAAATAGTAACATGATGGGATCACTAGTTTAAATTTTCCATGAGCTTCACTCTGCATCACTTATAATTTTATATTTAGTATTGTGCTATAATAATTTTGTACCTACTAATGGAATTAATCTACATATTTTTTAAAGGCAAGAAGAACTCATATTTTTTCTCTTAAAGAATTAAATCTCTAATGAATTCCTTGACAAAGCTAATTATTCTAATCTTCAAACTGTCAGTTTTGTTGAGAAATAAGTGTTTTTTAACTTTAGAAAAGTTCAAACTACTTTGTTTTTGGATTAATAAAACATTTTCAGAAAACATTTTCTTAAAACCAGATATAGAGCATTATGAGACTCAAGTTGAACTGCGGCACTGACCAGACCTTATGGCGTGAAATCACATTGAGTAAAACTGGCCAAGTAAATCAAAGGCCTTTGGATTCTTGGAGCTCACAGGAATGTCATTTGTGAAATGCAGGACTGACTCAGGTAGCTTTCAGGATTCAAAAGTGCACCATAGTTAATGAGAATTTACCACTAGTGCAGCTGGAAAAACAGCAGCAATAATATTCGTATTAGCTATCATGCAAGGAAGAGACAGAATGTGGTTTTACTTCTGGGTTACCACTCTCCCTCTTTCCCTCCCTCCCTGACTGTCTTTTATTTCTCAATTTCCTAGTGTCTACCTATCTACTCAGACACTGCATAATGGGATAGATTCAAGGCAGAGACTATGAGTGTCAACCTTCATATATATATATATATAGATAGATATATACACACACATACAAACATACATATTTTAGTATGACTCCTTTTTCCTTCTTTTTTATAATACTGCTGAGACATAGTCATCTTTTACAGAGGTTAAAAATCTGAATATGTCTTATTCTTCCAAGAAAATGTTTTAAGCAATGTTCAAATTATACCCAGAAGTTATTTTATAAAAAGTGCTCCACCAAAACTGTACTTTCAGGAATTTGACTATTTGTGATGTCTGCACATCAGAAAATTAAGCCTTTACTCAAAAGGAAGTTGTAAATTTATTATCAGACACCACACACTTATTTAAATAGCTCTGGCCTCTTCTGTCACTTCCCATATTTTGCATCAAGTGGAATCTTTGTCTACTTACTGGATGGAGCTTTCAATGCGGGTGATGGTGAGGAAAGCGGCAAGATTTGCTGTGTAAGATGAGATGACAATCAAAGCAAACAGCCACCAAGCCCCCATCATCATTCGGGTGGCCAGAGTTGTGTACGGGACTTCTCCACCTGTGGAAGGAAGCAGAGAATAAAAGAACATCAACAAGTATTTATTGAGACTCTGAGGTCATACACAGTCAATAGCAAGTTAACTTGTAAGTAATGAGAATCTTTCTACATAACATCAGTGTAGATCTCTGTATTTTGCTTATGTTCACCACTTTTTTTATAGCTGTTAATTTACTTTTTAATTGGAAGATAATTGCTTTACAATGTTGCGTTGGTTTCTCTGCTGTACAATGAAGTGAATTAGGTATATGTAGACATATATCTCCTTCCTCCTGAACCTGCCTCCCGTCTCTCACTTCCATCCTGCCCTCCTAGGTCATCACAGAGCACCAAGCTGAGCTCCTTGCGACATACAGCGGATTTCCAATAGCTATCTCTTTTACACACAGCACTGTATATATATCAGTGCCACTACTGAACCACTTAGCCAGTTTACTTGTTTACATTCCAGGAGCTACCACTCTATCATCATGATGCTTTTTAAAAGTGAAAACGATATCATCATATTCTCCTGATCCAAATTTCCAGTGGATTCCTGTCACTCAAAAAAAAAAAGAAGTGAAAATCTGAAATCTCTATCAAAGTTTCCCGGGTCCTACATGAACTAATCTCAGATCCACTTTCTGACTTACCTTTTCCCACTCTCTGAATGTCCTTCTAGTTTCTTGTAAGGGGCCACAATGATTTCTGTCCTAGGGCCTTTGTACTTGCAATTTTTATGCCTGGAATTCTCTGTTCTTTAACTTAAAAATGACTCTCCGTTTAATTTATTTAAGTTTCTGCTCAGATGATAGTTCTTCACAAACACTTAATTGTCTTTCTATCTAAAATAATTCCCACAGCCCCATTCTTTCAGCCACCCTGTTTTTTTAAATCAAATATTTTCATATATTTTATATATTTTTATTTTCTCCTCTTGCTCATTATACATTCTAACATAACAGTTTCTGCCTCATATTATGTGGGTAAATAGTTGATAAATGAATACATGTTTTATATGAAGTTAACAATCTTTCTAAGATAAATTAGTTTTCTGCTAAATGTAAAAATAAATTAAAGAGATATAATACTACATTTGCCTAGATACATCAATATGTGAATTGCTTAACAAGATTTAATTAACTATCATATGAGGCAGATTTTTATGCCAACCACTAATTCTCACTGTGTAATATTAATACCTTTAAGCTTTCAGTGCAGTAAAAACATACCCTGTGGGTATGACCTGAGCTATTTTTCCGATGTAATATACTCAGAATAGGCTAACCTCTGATATCGGGAACACATTTTTTCAAAAGCAGTTATGATGCATTTTGGATACTTTCTTCTCCAAAGCAACGGAAATATTCACTTGGCTTTCAAAAGATGAAAGCAAAATAAAATGTTCATTTTTAAACCAAGTGGGAACTTCCTAGAAAAATGACTAATTGAAAAAATAATAATAAAATATGAGCAAGATGATTGCTAAAGACTGAAAGATGTTAATAAATGTAACAAATGTAGAACAATAAATTCATGACTGAAAAGGCTAATTGAAGGTTTGTGTCCATGAAGTCTTCACCCTTGATTTGAGTTGTTATCACACATAAGAAAGAATACTTGTTGAGCTTTCCTCATCTGTTGCATAAAGTCTGAAATTTGGAAATTCAAATTTCTTGGACAGTCCACATAAAATGACATTTTATTTGATATCTGTGCTTAGAAATCAAATACTAAAAGTACTGGTAATCTTGACTTCTGACACTTGTAATTAGGAAAAAATTCAAAATAATCCTCCTACTGATAGCAACTAGAAAAAAAAAAAAAAGAAGATGAACAAATACTGCATTTGAGAGCTAAAAAAGCAGTAAAAAGTTAGAAGATGAAGATTCTGAAGAAGAACTTCAGAAATGTGACCTAGTATTTAGGCCTGTTTTCTTCTAAGGGATAAATGCCAATTTAACAAGAAGGTAAGAAACTGAGATGCTGAGTAATGCTCTTGAAAGTCTTCAAAATCAGGTGGCTATAAAAATTAAGGCCCAGGGCTTGCCAAATAGGGGTGGAACTAAGAAAAACAGAAAACCCTCATATGCTTGGAATTATGCCATGGGTTGGAGAAAAATCACAAAAGAAGTAAAAAAATATTTTGAAGTTGGTGATAATAAAAATACTCCAAACCAAAACTCCACATTTTGATACCTGACAGGATGTAGCTAAATTTGCCTTTGAAGGGAAATTCACAACTTCTATAAGAAAAGAAGTCTGAAAATCAGTGATCTACTCATCAATTTCAAGAAGTTGAAAGAAAAGCAAGTTAAACCTAAGGACACAGAAGGAGGGACATAATAAATATAGGAGCAGAAATTAGTAAACTAGATGAAACTAGATAAACACAACAGAGAGGGATGATCCAACGGAAGTTTGGGTCTTTGGAAATATTTATAAAAAGCTGTAGATGCATGGCAGAAACCAACACAATGTTGTACAGAAATTATCCTTCAATAAAAACAAATAAATATGAAAAAATAGCAAAAAACAAAGCTCTTGAGATTGATCAAGAAAATAAGTAAAGGCACAAAAATAGGAGTTGAAAAGGTATATTGTTACAAATGTTACAGATATTAGAAGGAAAAAGAGGAGGATCATATGCACAGTTCAATGCCAATTAATATGAAAACTGAGATGACATGGACAAATTTGTATAAAAATTGCTACCAAAAGAAATAGAACATTTCAGTGATCTTATAAGTATTAAAGACTTTGAATCCACAATTAAAACCTACTCATCAAAATACTCAAGACCAGTAGATTGTTTTCAGACCTTCTGGAAAAAATCTACCAAATGTTTTAGCAATAATTAAGTCTAATTTTACATACACTCTTTTTAAGATTAGAAAAAAGCAAGACACAAGTCCATATATTTTATAAAGAAGACACANTATCGTTACCATCTTTCTAAAGTCCATATATATGTGTTAGTATACTGTAATGGTCTTTATCTTTCTCTGCTTACTTCACTCTGTATAATGGGCTCCAGTTTCATCCATCTCATTAGAACTGATTCAAATGAATTCCAAAGAAAGCATTTTTAAAGACTATCTTAGAGGCTGTGAGTTGTTACCACTTCTATTCAACATTTAATTGTAGGCACTAAACAGCACAGTACAAGATGCCAAGAAAACAAAGAAAGGAAAAATACTAAAGAATTAGAGAGAATGAAATAAAAGTTAAGAGTTAGAGATGATGTGAGTATGCATGTAGAAAATCTAAGAGAATATGAAATGACTTACTAAAATTAATGTCAGCTATCAGTTTACTATGGTACAGAGTCAGCGTTCAAGAATGATCAGACATGCATATACCAGTAACACTTAAGACATGAAATTTAAAAATATACACTATTTGCAATAATACTAAAAATATAAAATATCTAGAAATAAAGATGTGGAAGATCTCTATATGAAAATCTATAAAACTTTCTTGAGTGCAATAAAAAAAGATTAAATAAATGGATAGATACATCGAGTTTATTGATCAGACTCGGTATTATAAAGATATAAATTTTTCTCTCTCACACACACATACAGAGAACAATGCAATAATACTATATAGCAATGAAAATGAAAAGATTTCACTTATAACACCATGAATGGATTTCACAAACTAAATATTGAGTAAAAGAACGCACACTGCATGATAATAGTTCAAAACTAGGCATCATGAATGGTAGTGCTGATAATCTCATGAGTGGTGAAGTGTAGAATAATGGTTGAGATGGGGAAATCGGGGTTGTGTTACAGGTAACGTTCTATCTTTTCCTAGGTGGCAGTTATACTGGGATTCCATTGCTGGTAATTCACTGAGCTGCACTTTTAAGTTTCGTGAACTTTCTGTACTTACATAGTATTTCATAATGAAAGAAAAAAACTAAATTAAAGAAGAGTAAAAAGAGAGAACGGTGGGTTTAATAAAAACTACTTTTTTCCTTTATTTTGTTTTTCTGTCCAAAATTTGAAAAAAGAAAATATTTTCATAGATTCTGAAGGCCAAAAGACAGGTAAAAAAACAAAAAAAAAAACCCTGCTAAATTAAAAAAAAACAACCTTACATTGCTAAAGCATGGCAAGAATTAAGCTGGCCATTCCCGACACTTTAGGGTGTAAAAGGGTCTAACTCCAGAGTTGGGCATTTTGATTCTATAACCCCTTGGTGAGTTTGAGGTCTCCCTACAGTGTCACTCAACAGAAGTGTGTGTAGAATTCGTATTTTCCAAAGTGACCCTTCTTCAGTAAGAGAAATGTTCTTTACACAGATTTGCATTTTGATGTGACTGGTTTCCCACCTCAAAAAGTACATCAACCTTACCACTGTATATATTATCTTACTTATAAAGGTTGTTAAAGAAGTAAAATAATGTTTTTCCCTCAGGCAAGATTATGGAACTTGATAATTTTGCCTGAGTAAGGCAAAAAAATGTTGCTCTAAGTCTTTTTCTGTGGGAGGATACATGCATTTTTGTGTTTGCCTGAAAATACAGAAAAGTAATTGTTGAAGATTTTCCAATTTCATTGCATGGTAAATCAGCTTCTTGAAGGTTTAAAAACTCACAAAGAAAAAAAAAAAAAAGAAAACAAAAAACTTCTCGAGTGTTTATTATGTAATCTGGGACTGTGATTCTTTTTTTATCAAATATGATCAAGAAAAAAATAGAAAATTCATTATTATCTTTCCTTATAAACATTTTTTTTTTCCAGAATTGGATCCTTATTGAAATTAGGTTACTAGCAAAATGGCTAAAAACCCTTATAGCAAATAGAAATTTTCCAATATTAGGGATGACTGAATATGTTCAAATAAGCTAGTCAATTGGCATGTCGGTAAGTATTAGAATATTTTATACATACAAAATCACAATTTAGAAAATATGAATAAGGATATATTGGCAATGAGCCACTGTCAAGGCAATGTTTTACATTTAAGGATTGGTGATGATACATATCTCCTAAATGCATAAGATATGT